TTTAAAATTTAATCATGAGATCATAAATTTATGAGTAGGCTGAAAGTCAGGCCCAAATAATCAGATCGTTACATTACCTATGACATTAAATAGAATATAATGTTCATAGAAAGAGTGAAGACATGGTTACTAGGCTGCTGTTGGGTTCCATCTTTTCAGCCACAAAGTAACAGCCTTGAAAAATAAATACAGGTGAATACATCGGTTATTTGCACTAGCGTTCCAATTAATTCTGGATATAGCCAGGTGGCCACGCTAAATATCTGCAGCTTAACTGGAATCCTATTAGAGTGAACTGTCCCAAACTTTAAATGGGTAGTTTGTAAAGCAATTCAGAGTGCAGCTTGCTGCCAGGATTTGGTCGACAGCTCTAGTTAAACTAAATAAAAATGCTTACCGCTGAGAGCAAGTGTCCTTGAGTACTGTATTTTTACAATTGGAAGGTAGAAAGAAGATTTGAATAAAGCTACCTGTGTTAAAAATCATGTTGTTTCAAAAGGCATGTTGTGACTCATTCTATATATCATTTTGACCTAGGTTTGGTAGGTAAGGCAGTTGTCCTCAGAATTAAGAACATATATACCATCATATGCTGCTTGTTAACAGGAATATATTCTGAGAAATGCATCATTAGGTGATTTCATCATTGTGCGAACATCACAGAGTGTACTTACACAGACCTAGATGGTATAAAGTCTACTACACACCTAGGTTTACATGGCATACTACCCTTGCATATGTGGTCCTTCACTATTGGAATGTTGTTATGGGGCACATGGCTATATGTTTCTTTACCTTCGATAAATCATAAAATGATAAAAGCAAACCTAAGTTAAAGCCCAGATTTGATTTAAACGAAGATATTAATACTGCAGTCTATTCTAATACAACTTAGGAAATCTGCCACATACTCCTGACAGTTATTAGGATTAACAAAGAGAAATTATTTTATTCATCATCTCTTTAAAGTACAGGGTTTTCCAACTTTTCCCTTCCATGGCATTCACAGAAAATACTTGTTCAGCCAATTAGGACAAACCAACGAGGATGACCCTGTATCCCTCTCCCAGCCCCCCAAATGCTGTAGTTGTACTCCAACCGCTCCCCCCCCTCCCCCCCATAGAATGAGATGGACACTGAAGTCAGAGGAGGGTAACGTGCCCAAGAGATAATGGTGGGTGCCCACTTTATTCAAAGCCACTAAACTGTCTTTTTTTCCCCCTGAGGTTGGGACTGTACCCCTTTCCTCTTTGTACCCCCTATAGGACCAACTACAGTGCCTAATATTTACAGGTAACTCTGAAAATATTGTGGGTTCCAGACCATTGCAATAAAATAAATATCACAATAAAGTCATACAAATTATTTGATTACCCAGTGTATATAAAAGCTATGTTTACCCTGGATTGTAATCTATTGTGTGCGATAACATTGTCTAAAAAAAAAACAATGTACTTCACACACCTTAATTAAAAAAATACTTTGTTACTAAAAAAAATCGCTGAACAATATTTTCATATTGGCTATTATAAATTAAAGTCCTTGACTATATTAAAACATTTAAAAATTCTTTATAAAAATCAAAATGGTATTTGAATATTTTCTTTCACTGATGGATATTTGATGGATAAGTAATTGAGTGCTGAAGCAGTCAACAGACAAGCATCTCTGCTGTCATGTTTACTACATTCTGGTATAATTATACAGAACTAGACAAATAAGTAGATATGTGTAATATTTACATAGTGGTAGGTGCTATGGCAAAATAAAAGGCATGAAAAGAAGAATGTAAATTTTATGATGTTGGTAGGGTGGGCTGAAAGCATGCCTGTGTTTTTGTTTTGTTTTTCTAACCAGGGACAGGCTTATAGAATAGTCAGCTAGTATTACAGGAAGAAAAGATATTGGTTTAAGAAGGTGTTGCTTTTAAAGTAAGTGTAATAAATAACGTGAATAACCAAATAATGTAATTTTAGGAAATTCCATATTGCTTAACTTAAAAAAAACCACTATAGTTATCTGGTAAGGGCACAATTAAAAGTTACATATAAAGAAGTAAGGGTGTAGGTTTAAAAAGTAACTTTTGGGATAAAAGACTTTTTACTCAAAGTACACAATTTCAGATACAAAGTTTACATTCAAGTAAATATCTAAAAAGGTTGACTTTAACCTTATTCTTAAATTTACATAAATTCTACTGATGTCTTCATTTGTATTTATTTATTGGAGAAATAACTATTCAAAAGTTATCAACAAGGTAGAAAAGTTAGTTTTGCTTGGATAGTGTATCCTTTCAAATTTAAGAATTAAATATCTGAAGCAGAATTGGAATCAGAATTCTTTGTAGTTTAAGTTTCTTTTGGATAATTTTTAAAAATGCTATTATCAACATATTCTAGCCATGAATCTAGAGTTAATACAATAGACATAAATGTTGGAATCTCTATTATAAACTCGCTTTAAGATGATACACATTGCCCAGAGTCTCAAATGTTTTTTAAAAGATCTTTTGAAGACTAATCATTTGAAATATATGTAAGTCTCTAATTAAAAAATTCAAACTTACATTTATTTTCCCCTACATTGTCATTTTCAAAGCTATTTATGAAATATAAACTTGCCTGGCCATTATGGCTCAGAGGTTGAGCATCAATCTCTACACCAGGAGGTTGCTGGTTCGATCCCCGGTCAGGGCACATGCCCAGGTTGTGGTCAATCCCCAGTGGGGGGCATGCAGGAGGCGGCCGATGAATGTTTCTCTCTCACTGATGTTTCTCTCTCTCTCCCTCTCTCTTCTTCTCTAAAATCAATAAGAAAAAATATTTTTAAAAAAATAAATATAAATTTAAAATGTAAGTTTAAGCTTATATTTGCCTGGGAATAAAATATGTTTCAGGCCCTGGCCGGTTTGGCTCAGCGGTTAGAGTGTCGGCCTGCGGTCCAGAGAGACCCGGGTTCGGTTCCCGCTAAGGGCACATACCTCAGTTGCAGTTTGTCCCCGGCCCTGGTTGGTCGTGTGGGTGGCAGCCACTTGATGTGTCCCTTTCACGTCGATGTTTCTCTCTCTTTCCCTCTCTTCCCCTCTCTCTCTCCCTCCCACTCTATCTGAACAAAAAATGGGAAAATGTCCTCGGGTGAGGATAAAAAAAAAAAATATATATGTTTCAGTAATTAAACCAGGATTTTTTTCTTTTTTGTCACAACTTCAGATCATGCCTACTTGATATAAGATTTTTAAAACTATAGTTAAAACACTAACTCCAAGCTGGCACTATGTTTTTTAGTTCAAGACAAAAAGTTGAGTTAAAAAACAAAACAAAAATCTTTGTGATTGGGCATTTCTTTAAAAAGTACACATCTGGGGGAAAATGTCACCAAATGTTTAATAAGTTTGGAGGGAAGGAGGGGTAGGTCACTTCAGCTGAGCATTGAAAGAGATAAGATCAGGGGATTAAAGATATAGCCAAATACTTTATAAGGAAAAGGATTTCAAGTCTGAGACAGATTCCAGGGATGTTACAGAGGTTGAACAGATTAGAAACTAAGTGGATGAAAGAAAAAAAAAAATCAAAGATGATGTTAATGTGGGATTTGGGTAAAGGTAATAAGGACGTAAGAACTTTAAAGGATTTTCAATATCTACACTGATTTATTTATGTAAAGAGAATTTCAAAAGCATAACCAAGATACTTGACTGATACAACTTTTATTTTTCATGCTAAAATTTTTACAAATTTTTATTGTGTCATATACAGTTACAAGAGTTAACAGTTACAAGTGAATTAAAAAAAATAGCATTTGGGGGCACTTCTATTCATTTTACTATCATAAGCTTGTTTTTGTTACATGAACAGTAACAATAGTTATAATTACAGAACTACTCGACTTGGAAATTCAATAAGTGTGTCATGATGGAGGCTAATGCATAATACAAAAAGTAAGTGCCCTATAAATATAGTCTCATATTCTATATTATTCTTCATTCCACAATGAGAATCATGGGTTAGCATCTACCCAGTAATGACGTCATTCAAATATTTGACCAAGGAGGTCAAGTCAGTAAGCATTTTAAATTACTTTCCAAAATCTTACTTTAGTTCTATAAGAAAATATAAGACACAATACACGAGGCATGGCTTACTGATATTTTATGCCTAAAACAAACCATTACATAATGAAATTATGCATGTTTTGCAACTTGGCATATGTTCCATGTCACACAATAATTAAAAAATAAATCGTACTTAACCAGCACTTAGAATCACCCAACTATGCTGATAGGGCATCTCCCAGACTTCTAGGTTCTAAAATTCTGGGGTAAGTGAAACAATTTGAACTGTAACAGTCTACATGGTAGTAATATTACCTCTTGGCCATTGGCCCAATACTAATCCTTTTTGTTTTTTAGTATACAAAATATGCTGAAAACATTTCTCTTAAACACATTTCATTTAATGTAATTAAACAGAAGGCAACGATTTCCTTCTAGAAGAGTTAGATTTAGCTATGAAAAACTTGACATGTTTGTTAAATTAATTTATGAAATATTTTTAGGATCAATACAGACCATAGTATATTTTTAAAATTTAGAACCTGTGCTAAACACATGTAAAAAGAACTATAAACATAACCAATCATACTAGTAATTTAAAAAAAATTAAAATCACTATTCTTCCCCCGATAGTAATTTTATAAATATATCACTTGCTTTCATCCAAATTAAGGGTAAATTTCAAAAATCCACTGTGAAACCTACATTCTGACTAAGCACAAAAATACACAATTAGTTCTCATCAGAAATTTCAGCTGACAAATGAAAATTTTTACTTTGAAATAAGAGGATCTGGGATATAGAAGTGAAAATTTTGCTTGAAGCATATTGTAAAGATATTTTGTTTTCATGTAAAAATAAATGTTTTAAAGAAATAATGTTTAACAGTCTTCTCAAACACATTTTTCCTTAAAATAGTTTAACATTTTATTTAAAATATTTTACAAAATAAATCTAATTCATTATTCTTAGATGTATCTGAGCCAAGTATGTGCTGCTTCCAAGATGTTATGAGCTAAATATCATGGCATTATGGGAACAACTTTTGGCTTGCAACTTCAGTAACTTGAAAATCAATTTATACTGCTTATCATGTATTTGTAAATTTAAAAGTTTTCATCTTTAAAAAATAATAAAACCCTAACAGATAAGTATGAATATTTTGAAAACTAAGGATAAATATTTATATTAGACCAAAGATCTACAATATAACAAAGTATCCTAATACAACTATTTTTTAAAATAGTTGATCCTTGAACAACACCAGTTTGAACTGCAGAGGCCAATTTATACCTGAATTGAACAGCACAGTTTAAACCCACATTGTTCAAGGGTCAACTCTGTGGCTGGAAATCCCTGTAGGCAGATGATTGTATTTATATGCTGATTATTGACTGTGTTCAAGAATCAACTGTACTACCAAATACCTCAAAGTTTTATATATTAAGTGCAACAAACAATATAAATAAAACACTTTCAAAGACTGGAAAGAAAATATGCTAATTGTAAGAGCAATAATGCTTGAGTCACACAGACTTGTGAATCTTGAATTTGCCACTTACAATCTTAACCATATTTCTTAACTTCCCTAAAACTCAATTTTCTCAGATATAAAATGGGTGGCAACAACGGTATCCACCTTAGAGGGCTCTTCTGAAGAGTAATATAACGCCCGCCAAAGATTAATACAGTGTGTGACAGACACAGTAACTGATAAATGTTAGCTATGCCAAGCAGTGACTTAATTTTGAGGTTAAGAACTTCACAAATTATTTTCTTAAGTAAGATGTAATCATTATATAAAGAATTATTTTAAAAAGTAAAAAAATAGCATGGGAGAAAGTTGGGGACATGCCCTCCAAAGAAACATCCAGAATTATATTGCAATAATGATACGGCTAAGAATGACAAAGGATTCGTTAGACTAACCTTTGAAGTCTCCTCGGTTACTTTCATTTTTGTTGTTTTGGCAGTTACTTCCTATATATGTTAACACTGCACTGTGTCATCTCCAAACTACAATTCAGAAGATCTGAAGTGAACTTTATTTTCTTGTTATGAATTTTTAGAGAAAATAATGACCTCATTGGCCTAAACAACCAAAAAAGGCATAGAAAAACTATACATAAATAAAAAGTCATTTACATGTTATGCACTGTATAATAAAGTAACCATTTTAGCAATTTCAATTTATCTGGTAGCTAGTATTTTCATACTGTTTATATTTCACATCTCAAAAAATCTCTATTATTTATAGTCTACTCTGACAACATATCATTCATATCTTTATTGGAATGATCAAGGAGTACTAAATTTTACAGAAATATTAAGCTATAGATTATGCTCCAAAATATTTTACTGGTGTTCATTTCCCATTTAAAATATTTCGGGTACTAACTTAATCATAATCCATCAATAAATTTTGACTGTCAACTATTAAATATGTGAACAATTTCTTATCAGATTACCCTGAGTCAACAGAGCTTTCCAGTGGATATTTTAAATGATAGAGCACAGATATTGGAGACAAAAGAAACTAGGTCTGAGCCAGTCAAACCACTTACTAAATATGTGAACTTCAGCAGGTCCCTCAAGTTCCCCATGCCTCTCCTTTCTGTTCCAAAAGACGAGGATCCTACCACCCTCTTTTGTCTAACTCACAGGGCTATGGAAATCATATATGAAAAACATATGAAACTGCTATATACATGTAATATCAACCACACACAAGAGACTTGTTATAGTATTATACTTGGTTAGAATGACCAGGCTATTAAAAGTGTAATTTAAGAGAAAATTATCCTAGAAAGTATAGGAAAAATTTTGTAATATCTTTACCATGTCCTTTGGATACGGTCTGAGAGCAGTTTTAAAAAATGCATGTATACCTATCCTACTACCATGTAAGAAACTGCATTGAACAATGACCTAAGAAAAGATAAGCCTCATTCATTCTTTCCATATTTTTTGTTTTGGAGTGGCTATAATTCGGCTTTACCTGAATGTGTTTCTGTAGTTTTATTAATTTACAGCCCGCTCTGTTTTAGGCTTATTCTAGCTTCTATGCACCAAGAGGTCACCGGTTCCTTACTTGGTCAGGACACAGGTCCATGCTGAGGGCTCCATCCAGTGAAGGGGGAGGGTGCAGGAGGCAGTCAATGTTTCTCTCTCTCCCTCTCCTTTCTTCTCTCTCTAAAAATCAATAAAATTAAAAAAAAAGTTCCCTCACTTTCATGCCTCTTCAGTAGATACTATGAATCCACTCTAAATAATTAAAGAATATTGGAACCACAAATCAACAGAAAAATCTGTTTAATTTACACTGTAATTTTCCAAGGTTAAAAGATACAAAGCAAGAAAATAAATCAGGATTGGTTTTTGTAGAAGACATATCTGAATGATGATTCTGAAGAAATGAACGTGATTTTGAAGGAAACAGGACATGAGGACAAAGTGAGAAAAAAACAAAAAATAGTAAGATCTTGTAAAACATTTTTTGGTTTTACGTAGTCACTGAAATGCTATTATCTCTAGGTCACTAGCTACATGAGAAATTAGATGGGTGATGGATCAGGTCTATAGACACAGATTTGGAAGCCCTGATATAGATGATTGTTGAAGTCACAGAAATAGAAATGATATGGCAAAAGAGGGTCTAGATAATACTCACTAAAAGATGTTAAAAGATAGAGAATGAGGGAAAATGAAATGACAGTGATTTGAAAAACACAAATAGAATCAATATGTTAGAGAAGTATACAGTTTCAAGAATGGGAGTAGTCAAAAAAGAATTTAAAAATTTAAAATAAAGATTAGCTTTGATTAGAAGTCCATAATAAATGTAAAGGGGTGATTTTAGTTTAGCAATAAGAATGGATGAGTTAGCAATAAATTAATGGAAGACAAAGTAGTTAAAAAAAATGTCAGTGCATTCCACCTATTTAAAATGTTCACTCAGGAAAGAGGGCAGAAAAGAGGGCTTAATAATTAAATAATTATTAATAATTTAGTAATTATTAATAATTCAATAATTATTAATCTAAATAATTAAGTATAGCATATGTTTTAGAGTTGAGAGTCAGACTGGTAAATAGGCATGTTTCAGACCTAAGTTAGGCACTTTGGGGGAGGGGGCGGGGGAACCTGATTTCTGTTAGTAGGGAACAGAAAGAAATCAATCTCAAATTCCTCCCAACCTTTTTTTTTTGTTTTTGGTATCATAGTCCCTATACTCAGTGGTATGTATTTAAAAGGTACTTAGCCTGGCAGGTGTGGCTCAAGCTTTGTCCCATATGCACCAAGAGGTCTGGGTCCGGGCACATGCCCGGGGTTGTGGGCTCTATCCCCAGTAGGGGGCGTGAAGGAGGCTGCTGATTGATGTTTATCCTTCATGGATGTTTCCATCTCTCCCTTTCCCTTCTTCTCTAAAAAAAGTCAATAAAAACATATTTTTAATAAAGGTACTTAGACCATGGTAAGTAAACAAGGCAGAGAGTCCAATTGGTAAATGGAATGGCAAGTTTAAAACAACAGTCTGTCAATAATTTAAACTTGAAAACAATTTTAAATAAAATCCAAAGCAAAAGTAGAAAATTTAAAAAATATAACTACTAGGGGCATGATATCCATGTGATGTACAACGTGATTAAATTTTTAAAAGCATAATATAGATTTTATTTAGATACAGCCACCATCATTTAATGACAAGCTTTCTTAAAATAATTTCAACCAAAGAAATAATTTCCACCTCTAAAGCATTCATAAAATTGATGAGTTGGGTGCCTAATAGTTGTGAAAAGTGTGTTCACAATTTTTAGTATGAAAAACAATATTAAAAAAGTGGAGCATCAAAATATTTTATTTCAAATCTACTTTATGCCTGATCTAATATGTAAATGGGAACATATTCACATTCTATAGGTTTCTGAATTTCATTTCCTATTTTGTTTTATGAGCAACTTACTTTATTTTGAATCTGTATCACTTTATTTGACATTTATTAAAGCTGTATAAAAGCCATGCATAGTTTATTTACAATACTGTACATTAACTATGTTTGAAGATTATACAAAAATTTCATAAAACTATAATTAAAATGGAAAGACATGTGAAACACGTTTAGAGACTTTAAAAATTTTAGGTACAGAATTTTGCAGATTATTTTGGTCTATTTATAAGTGTTATTCAAGCATGGGCTTGAAATAAGATGGACAAAAAATGCAAATGTGTAGAATTTCAGTAAATAAAAACTAACCATGTTTATCTAAAGGATAATACCACACTGGGGTTGAAATACTTCCTTGTAGCAATGGGAATTTATAAAACAGGAAAAAGAGGTTATTCCTTAAAAGTCTAGAATAGGCTATCAGTGATAAGTCTATATAAAAACTTTCAGCAATAATATTTCTGGAACTTTGTTCATCAGCAAACTTACGTTTTCACTCATTATTTGGGGTGTGAATTGTAAGTGTTTATTGTCCTGGAGGGAAAGTCTCAGTTTCCCCCTTTCAAGAGTGGGGATAGAGGGTGGGGGAAGAAGAAAACCAATCAGTAAATTTAGATTCAAACAAAGATCCTGGTACAAATATCACGAACTCAGAGTGGAGAGCTGCAGAAACTTGCATGTCCACACACTTTTAGCCGCATTCTTAAAATAGAGTGTAAACTTTAGGTCTGTTCAATTTAAGATTTCCTATCAGGAAGTACCTCATCCTTCAGAGTTTAAAAAGTATCATTAGGTATTTCTTCTCCAGCTGTGTCTCTTTCAGATGTTCACTGTTGTGGCTGAAGTACATTCAGATATTCAGACTGCCCCAGCTGATAAGTTGTATTCCTTCCACAATCAACATACTGGTACCTCTCCTGGGATATTTGTTCAGGATGTCCAAAGTATGTTGTTGTCACAGTGACTCTAAAAAGAAAAATAAATGCAGAGAAACACTGAATAGTTACATATAAAAAAGTTTTCTCAAGTGAGAATACTTCCATGTATCAAAATTCTCTCCAGAGAGAGATAATTTGATTAATGATAAGCTTCATATTCTGGACATGGGTCTCTTAGGGAATATTTTCCCAACGGACAACAGGAATGCTGGCTGAGAAAGCCCTATCCAAATAATTATATACAACAAACATACTTTTTTCAAAACACCTACCTTCAGTTAAAAATTTAGTATGAGCCCTGGCCGATTTGGCTCAGCGGTTAGAGAGTCGGCCTGCGGTCCGGAGAGACCCGGGTTCGGTTCCCGCTAAGGGCACGTACCTCGGTTGCAGTTTGTCCCCGGCCCTGGTCGGTTGTGCGGGTGGCAGCCACTCGATGTGTTCCTTTCACATCGATGTTTCTCTCTCTCTCTCTCTCTGTTCCTCTCTCTCCCTCCCACTCTACCTGAACAAAAAATGGAAAAATGTCCTCGGGTGAGGATAAAAAAAAAAAAAAATTTAGTATGAGTTCATTACACTATTAAAAATCATACAGTTCTCTCATCATAGAAAAAGGGTCAAATGTTAGCACGTGGCTCAAATTCCAAACTTATAAGTCCCCAATGTTTTAACAGCTTAGGATAACACCCAATTTATACACCAATTACCCTGCTTCTCCTCACTAATGCTAATGATCATTTACCACAGGTAGCAAGGAACTGGATGCTGAGCTCAGTCCTCCGCTGTGCCAACACCTGCCACCTCCCTGAGTTCCCAAGGTCCAGGCTCACTCTTCAGCAGCACGTGATCCTGTACTAGTTCTTGAGCTTCCATTTCCTCATTTGTCAAGTGGGATAATATTTATTTGATGTCAGAGCACTCTTGTAAGACTTAAAACCCAATTGAGATGGCATTGTAGAAATGCTGTGTGTGCTCTAAGTCAGCGATTTTCAACCTTTTTCATCTCATGGCACACATAACTAATTACTGAAATTCTGTGGTACACCAAAAATTATATTCTATTTTTTGCTGATCTGACAAAAAAAAAGAATAGGTATAACTTTGATAGATTTACAAAAATATAATAGCAATTACCCTTTTTGCTTCAAAGTGACTTTTTAAAATAATCAGGTGCCTATATTTCTGGTACCAAATATTATATGCAAACTTATGCAATGTGGCCAATAAGATGCAACTCCATTATATGACCTATATATTTATGGTTCAAGAGAGGGCATTCACAGAGGATGGCTATTGTTGTGTTGGCTGTTGTCACTTTTTTATTTGACAATCTAAAGGAAAAGAGGTCAGTGCCCCTGATGAAACAGGTATTGCATGTATTAAAAATTCTTGCAGCACATCGGTTAAAAATCACTGCTCTGAGCCAATGTTATAAATCTGAAATTTAAACAAAGAAATATCTCTTTAAAAAAATTCATACTCACTGCATCATGAGTACTATGTTATGCACTTTGATGGATATCAGCGTGCAGAAATCACTGTTAAAGAGAAAACAATGTGAATAAATGAGACCCATAGCATTATACATTTGAAAGTTTAATTATAATTCTTCCTATGTTAAAGCTAATAGATACTATTAAGATACAATGAATAAGCAGTATTGGTTGAGCACTGTGTATATCTCAAATAATGATTAATATTTTCATGATTTCTTATTCTAAGAACAAATAAGCTTTCCTAATATAGCAGTTGTAGAGTTTATGTGGCCACAATTTACTTTTACTTTTTTATTAATTTATTTTTCTTACAGATGTTTCTCCTTTTCCCACCAATGATACCCTCCTTCCCATCCTGTCTCTCCCCTCACAGCATTGTTGTTTATGTCCATTAGTTATGTATATATGCATATAAGTTCTTTGGCTTATCTCTTCCCTACCCCCTGCCACTCTCCTCTGAGATTTGTCAGTCTGAACACTAGTTCTATTTTGTTCATCAGCTTATTTTGTTCATTATGATCTCAGTCACAAATAAGTGAGATCATGTGGTACTTGTCTTTCTCTGACTGGCTTATTTCACTTAGCATTATACTCCCCAGGTCCTGCCATGTGGTCTCAAAGGATAAGAGATCTTTCTTTATATGGCTGCATAGTATTTCATTGTGTATATATACCACAGCTTTTTTATCCATTCATCTATTGATGGACACTTGGGCTGTTTCCAGATCTTAGAGATTGTAAATAGTGCTGCTATGAACACAGAGGGATATATATTCTTTCCGATTAGTGCTTCAGGCTTCTTAGGTTATATTCCTAGAAGTGGGATCACTGGGTCAAATGGCAGTTCAATTTTTACTTTTTTGAGGAAACAGCATACTGTTGTCCATAGTGGCTGCACCAGTCTGCATTCCCACCAGCAGTGTACTAGAGTCCCCTTTTCTCCACACCCTCGCCAGCATTTGTTTGTTTTGTTGATGGCAGCCCTTCTGGCAGGTGTGAGGTGTTTCAATTTGCATCTCTCTGATGATTAGTGGCTTTGAGCATGTTTTCATGTTACTTTTACTTTCTTAGAAAAAATGTTTTTATTGATTTTTGAGAGAGAGGAAGAGAGAGAGCGAGAGAAACATCGATGTGAGAAAGAAACATCGATTGGTTGCCTCCCCTAAGCACCCCAAGCAGGGAGGGAATCTGTGACCTTTGTGTGCATGAGACAATGCTCAGCTAACTGAGCCACACCGGATAGGGCAATTTACTTTTACTTTTTCTTTTTGTGTACCTTTTGAAATTTCACTAATCATTTTGTTACGCAGAAATTCTGTATCAAGCTGCTATCAAATGATGAAAAATTAATCACTGTTTTACTTAACAAGAGCTCATAATAATTTAGAACCAATTTAAAAGCTTTAGAACTTCACACCAACAGGGCATTATAATTATTAATCTTCCTACAATAAAACATCAATAATGGAATATATGAGAATATGGTTCTCTTAACATAGTAAACATAAAGTGACATGGTATATATAATCTTAATTCTGAAAACAAATTTTTTACATGTATGTGTTGTACATAAATGTCATGATGTTGATAAAGGAAAAGAAAAGAACAGAGATGAGCAAAAGCCAGAAGGAATATTCCAAAATGTGGTCATGTGGCCGCTAAGATTATGGGAGACTAAATATATACATATTTAATTCTTCATACTTATAAACATCAGAACTTACTACATATAACTCAGTTCCTCTGCTATGATAGTAGGAACTGTGTAGTCAATCTGAAAGGCAAAAAATAAAAATAAACAAATAAAGAATAGGATCAGTAATCAAGTATTTCAGATACATTTCATAACTTCAAAGAGTTCAGAAAACTCTCCCTTTATGAGACTGATTTACTCTTATACATTCATGGAAGACATTTCAAGGTCAAGTTTTTGAGGAGACCCCCACCTCCCTCAAGTTAATATGATAAACAAAACTGAGATCATTTAATTTCTCCAAAATATTTCATGACAGAAGCTTACCTGTTTCATATCCAGCGGACCAATATTTGTTATATTGTTTAAGCGTGACTTTCCAATAACTGTTTTTGAAAACTGGACTTGTGCTGTGATATTTTCAACTTCAACAGAATAATAGTTATTGTTCGTTATATTTAGTGTGTTCTGCAAGAGATGAGATAGAAAATGTACAAGTTATCTGAAAATAAACAGAACAGATATGTATTAAAAGTAATAAAAAATGACTCCAGCCCTGCCCGGTTAGGCTCAGCAGTTAGAGGCCTGGAGAGTTGTGGGTTTGATTCTGGTCAAGGGCACGTACCTCTGTTGCAGTTCGTCCCCAGCACTGGCAGGGTTCATGCGGGAGGCAACCAATCAAGATGTCTCTCACACTGATGTTTCTCTCTCTCCCTTCTTCTCTCCCATGCTATCTTCTATCTATCTGAAGATAAATCCTTGGGTGAGGATTAAAAAAAGACTTCACTTGTGGCCATGCCTCATTATTAGAAAAAAAAAGTTGCCCGGCCCATGTGGCTCAGTGGTTGAGCATCAACCCATGCACCAAGAAGTTGCTGGTTTGATTACTGGTCAGGGCACATGCCCAGGTTGTGGGCCAAATCCCCAGTGGGGCACATGCAGGAGGCAGCCAATCTATGTTCTCTCTCATCAATGTTTCTATCTCTTTCTCCCTCTCTCTCTAAAATCAATAAAAAGAAAAAGAAAAAAGAAAAGTTAACAAAGATGTCAAAGAATATTAAATGACCCAAATATTTGGTTTTATGAATGAGTACTATATATAGAATATGCTACAATAAACATAAAAAATTTTAAAAATAGGCCCAGAAATGATACAGGAATATAGAAAAATAAATGTTAGAAAATGTATCTGTGGTTTTAGCAAAAATTCAATAAAAATAATTCTTAAATTTCATCTAAATTTTTACTAAATGTTAATTTAGTAAGTTATTTCTTATTCTAATAAATACAAAGATGACCATATAAAATGTTAAACAGTCCTTTAAACAAATTATTTTTTTAACTTATACACAAGAAGAGATTTCCACCAGGTCACTATGGAAAAGAAATGGAATAGAGTCAAGTTTGTCTGGATGGAAAAAGATACAAGTGTATCACTTCTATACTTAGGTAACAGCTGGGCCCAACTTCTCACATTCTAATTCACAATGGTCTCAAATTCAGAAACAAATGCTGAGAAGTAAACAGACTGTAAATACATATTTTGCTAGCAATTAATTGTTGAATTCATTTACTATCCTAAAGGCACCTTTGAATGCTAAATGATTCTGTATACACAGCTGCCAGTGTTTATTATTCACCACTTTCAGCAGAACCAGAAATGTTAGAGGAGGTCAATACAGCAGATATACAGAAAGCAAACCAATCAATGTGGCATTTAATATTCTCTCAACAGGGACAAAGGTTCTGCTTAACATCATGAAGGAACAAAGTTAAGTATTTTTAATATACAGTTTTACTTACTGTGATATTTAAATATATTGTACGCTTTTCAACATCATAACTGACATAAGCTGATTTTACGCCAATGCATTTCACGTCGATTGAGCGAGGGAAAAGGAAAAACACAGCCAATCCAGAAATCAGCAGACAAACAGACACAGAAACCATCACATACAGTTTTCTGAAAAAGAAAATGGAATATTTAAATATATGTGCATTAAAAAATACATAATTAAACATTTAGAGAGCATATTTTCAACTTGAATTTTCCCATTATATTAGCAGTATAAGATGTATTTTATCAAATTTTTATATTATAAAAGTATTGAGTAGAGTTGGGTCTGAGTCTATTAAGTGTTAAAATGTTCTCCTTAAAAGATGTATTTACCTAAAAAAAAAAAAAAAAAAAAAAAAAAGATGTATTTACCTTATTGGAGAATGGGATTCCAGGCTTATTATAGACAAAACATTACTGTATGATTCACAAATTGGGTTGCACATTAAAATCAAGATAGGGAGCTTTAAAAATATACAGATTTTTAAGACTCTTTCCTGAATTCACTGAAGCAGAATTTTCACATGTAAATTTTGCCATTGTGATTTTCTAAACTGACTACTCATCAGGCCCATCTTTGAAGCTCTTAAAAAAATAATGACGTATCTACATGACTCATCAATTTCACCCCAAGTATAGCCACCCTCTGTTATTATACCAGCTATTTAAAAAATATGGCTACTGTGTATATCCACTTCTATAGCTCTGAGATTATTTCTCTAGTTTCTGAACCTTTTCTCTCCTTTATCCATATTCTTGCCCTGTGTAAACTGGATTCTACCTCCAGCAGGTTCTTACTTAGAATGTTCCTGTCCTTTTGTAAGAGTTTTTACTGCGTTTCCCTCAGGTCTTTGAGGGCTTAGAATGGGCCAGTTCCTTCTGATCTTCTCATGGACCCTTAGTGGATGTCTGTGGCTTTTTATGCACTCTCTCCAAGCTTGAGCATGAGTTCTCCCATTTTAACAGGTTATCCTCAGAGGTATTTTCTGGAAGTCCTCCGAGTGGGATTCTCTTCCTTCGATGTGAGGCATTTGCTCTGGGAATCAGGGGTCTGGGGACTCTTAGGAACTCTTTATTTGCTTCCCTTCCACACAGCTGCTCAGCATGTCAGGTTCTTGCTGATTTGAGTATGCATTTTTTTTTTTATCCTCACCCGAGGACACCTTTTTCAATATTTTGTTCAGATAGAGTGGGAGGAAGAGAGAGAGAGAAACATTGACGTGAAAGGGACACATCAAGTGGTTGCCACCCACATGACCCAATCAGGGCCGGGGACAAACTGCAACCGAGGTACATGCCCTTAGTGGGAACCAAACCCGGGTCTCTCTGGACTGCAGGCCAATGCTCTAACCACTGAGCCAAACTGGCCAGGGCTGAGTATGCATTTTTATTCTGTGGCTGGTGGGAACACCTTAACACCCTTTTTTTTTTTAAATAAATGTTTTCTCTATGTGTGTTTCCTACTATTATTCTAAGTTTGTGTGTTTTAATAAATGGATTTGAGAAGATTTAGGACCATGTTGCTTTCAAGGCCTTTTGACAACCGGGAATCTTTTTTTTTTTTTTTTTACAACACAAAGCATACGAGAGCGTTAGTTAATAACCTGATAGCATTTTCCCCTTTTAACAGTGTTGACTAGTGTAATTATTATACATAATTTGAAAAGCAAATATAAAAATAAACAAATGAACAACAAAAAAAATCTTTGTTTTACTTAAGTAAAAAAAAATCTTTACTTACGTTCTTCTTGGCCTTAATCTCTGATCACTATATGGAATCAATGCCACCAACTGGTTTTCCTGCCCTAAAAGTAAAAGAAGTTTAAAAATTTATTAACATGATTAATTAAAAATATAGTGGCTTGTTTAGAAAGACCAAAACACCTCCTATGCTCTTTATCTCACTCTACACATGATACACTTTCTCATACAGGATACCAAAATTGCTCTTTAAAGGTCCCAGCGGTGCCCTGGCCGGTGAGGCTCAGTTGGTTGAGCATTATCCTAAGTACCAAAAAGTCACCAGTTCAATTTCCAGTCAGGGCACAAGCCCAGGTTTCAGGTTCAACCCCAGTTAGATGCATACAGGAGGCAACTGACTGATGTTTCTCTCTCACATCAATCTCTCTCTCTCTGTCGCTTTCCCTTCCCCTCTCTAAAATCAATAAAAATATATTTAAAAATATAAAATAAATAAAGGTCTCCAGTGGTCTCTACATCACCAAATTCAATGGTCAGTTCTCAGTTCTCACATTAACTGATCAGTAGGATCTAACATAGCTGATCATTCTTTCCTCCTTGGTATACGTTCTACATTTACCTTCCAGGACACCACAGATGTAGATTTCTTCTTCCTACTTTAGCTGCTCATTTTTAGTATCTTTGCTAATTCTTTCTCTTGTAACTTACCCAAAATGTAATGCCCCAGGGTTCAGTGTTAGGGTCTCTCCCTTTTTGTATTCACACCACCGAACTTGGTGTTCTCATCCATCTCAGCTTTAAGTATCACTTGCATACTAATGACTCCAGCCTACACCTTGCCCTTGAATTCCAGGCCCTCATTATAACCGCCTATTGCACAGATCTACTTACGTGTCAAATATGCATCTCCAAACGTACATAATTAAAATCAGCTCCTGAGCACTCCCCTGACATACACACTCATACCTTTTCTTCATCCTACTAAATAGCTAGCTACTCCATTCTTCCAGTTGCTCAGACAAAAAATACCTTTGGAGTCATCCTTGATTTGCTACATCAACTTCCAGGTTGCCAAAAAAGCCCACTGGCCATGCCTCAAAAATATATTCAGGTAATACCACCTTCCCCCTAGCCTGGTATATTAATCTCTTCAACAAAATAATCATTTTATTCGCAAACAGTTACTATAACCGCAAAGATAAAATCATTACATTCAGAGGCCAACTCAAATATAAACCCAAGGCATTTTATCAGAGAATCTGCTAGACTTTACACTGCCACTTTGTCCTTCCCTCGGGGCTTCTCCAGAGTCATATTATCAACTTTGACCAAAGAGAAAATGAAGAGAGCACAAAGGTACTTTTACTATTACTACTGTAGCCATTGCTCCTAAGTAGCATGCAAACAGCACATGGGATCATTCCCTTTCCCTATGATATGCCACAAAATGACGTTTCCTCCCTATTTAACTCATCATGATATCCTTCTTCATGTAGTTCCTCTTGTGAAAATGCCTGGAATCATTCTTTAAAGGGAAAATAGTGCACATACCCCTAGGAATTCTTCCTGTTCCTTGACAAGTGGGACAAGTGACACTATCTCTTCCTGTAAACTCCACGTATGGAAACTGAGAGACATCTCCACTTCTTCCATCTTCATTAGGGACTTCATTTTTCACCAATCCATTCCTCAGGTTTTCAGTTGATGCAACTCCACCATAAGCATCTTCTTTATTTGAATGCAAAGGCAAATGAGAAAAAGACTTCCCCATGTCTAAAGAAAAAGAATAATCTTACAGTAAACTTCACACACAAAAAAGTGTATACTCAAGAACATTATGGGATATTTCTTCCAATTTAATTAATTTAGAAAACCTCATGGAATGTTTAAACATTCAGACTACTTTGGGGATTAGGATAATATTCAATCAAAGCAATGTCTGAAACAAGGGAGCCTTTTACTAGAACCCAAAAGTGTTTCTCTAACAAAATATAAAATAATATTGTATCAATCTTGAAATGAGAACTGGCTTTTAAACATTACAGTTTAACAAGTCTACACTTTCTTTGGGTTCTCTGAAAAGTAACTAACATGTGGCTTCACATTTTTTAGAATAAAGCACAAACATTCTACTATTACCAGTGAGACCAGGAGACCTTGGTTCTTGTCTTCTTGAAGGAAAGATTTCAATCAAAAGACAGAGTATAGAAAAGCAAGCAAGAGTTTACTGACCACAGTAAAAACACACTTAGGACAGTGAAACATGGAAGGGCATAGACGAAGCAACAGGAGAGCCTAGGCTGGGCTGCCTTGGCCCACTGGAAGTCAGAGAAAAGGGGTCTTGGAGACAAGCTCAGGTGGTTAGCCCAGGACAAGCTGCTGCTTCTTATTGCTCCTCTGGTTGCAAGTCTCATGGGGTTCTGTGGAGTTGTGGGGGAAGGAGAGGGGTAGGGAATGGCACAGGTGTATTCCCTGGAGGGAGAGCTTGCTGGGACCTTTATTTTCAGAGCTTTTAAGAGCCAGGTATTTAGGGGAGGTTTTAGAGGAGGATCAATAGACTATCCATCACCTTTATGCTGAAGTACCAAAATGAGATTTATTCTCTTAATTTGTCTGACCTAGGTTGTGGTTGGCAAATGGCACTAATTGGATTTCTGGTGTGTGTCTCCCTGAGTAGAGTGATTTAAGCTATTCACCCTCTGGTTGGGGAGGAGAAGTGCAAACCATTTACTGTTCAAGTGTCCTTGGTTTAGGGAAGATAAGATTTACTAGGAGGCTGCAAACTTCTGTTTAACTATCTGTCTTTGTTTCCCTATTCTGTTTGTCCTAGAAGTTCCCTAGCTTCTTATTATTCTATAACACCTTTAAATCAATTAGCACTGAAGACAAAAGTTGCATTCTGGCCCGTCTGGCTCAGCAGTTTGAGCATTGGCCCGAGGACCAAAAGGTCTCAGGTTCGATTCCCAGACAAGGGCATGTACCTGGGATGCAGGTTCAATCCCAGCCCTGGTAGGGGTCATGCAGGAGGCAACCAATCAATGTGTCTCTCACATGGAATGTTTTTTTTCTCTCTCTCTCCTTCCTTTTCTTACCCTCTATCTAAAAATCAAATAAAAAAATATCCTTGGGTGAAAACAAGGCAAATATGCTTTGGGCAGATAACAACTAGGTAGTATATGTATAAGCAAGTAACTTCAAAGTAGTATTTTTCATTCTTTTAAAATTCATGCTCTTTATGATAAATAAAATTTACAATCTCTCTCACCCTCACATTTCTTGCTTTAAACATTTAAACATTTGCAACAAAAAACAACTCAAAAAACAAGACCTACAGGTTTTTCTCTCATTCAGCAGTTGGCAGAGTTAAAATTATGAAATTAACATTTCAAAATATTGACTATAGCATACCCATACAAAATATCAAAATTTAGAGCATTTATTTCAAAACTTTAGGATGACACTATCAAAAATAACATGGGGAAAATGAACTAAAAATTTAAAGCCATTTCTATATATAATTAGTATTAGTACCTATACAAAAATAACTTCTGACTTCTGCAGGTAGGTTTTACAATTTTAATGAAAACAACTTAAGTGATATAATCTAATCTGCCGATATTGAGGGAAAATTCATAAAGTGATAAAGCAAATTTTAAAAATGAAATATTTCTTCTTTCTAAATTTGATCATATACCTTTCATCAGGTCCTAAAATAGATTATAGACATTCATACAAAGAGATACATGGTATTTCTTTTAAAAATTCTCATTGGTTTGAATAAGAAAAACTGACGCAAAATATAACAAGGTAGAAAAGTTTGCTTTTTAAAATTGGCATGCCATCCATGTGTTGGGGTCAACCAACACAGTGTAAGCAGCAGGGTGAAAAAAACTATTCAACTAGAAAACAAACTTAAAACTATCAAATGATGAATAAAAATGCTTATTTTCACTATCTTCCTATTTTTAAAAAATCTATGTACACACTGTCCATGTAAGTTAAAAAAAATTTATAACTTCTACAAATGCATTATATTCTCTTGATTTTTTTTTAATGACATTAAATCCCAGCCAAATCAATACTTGCCAGGCACAGGTGGTTCAGGGGTGAATTAACATCACTGTCTCCACACTGGAATGAATGTCTTAGGGGGAAAAGGCACAGAAGGCAAATCCAGTGACTCTCTGAACCTCATCTAACAGTTGCCTTGATAGTTGGTCTCTGACAGATGATTGTTTGTTTCAAGGCTACAGATAAGCGCCAGACCTTGCCAAGTACTGGGCATCCCTGCCCTTCCTATTACATTTTCCTCAAAGCACGTATGAAATTAATCAATTTTATTCCCGGAGGCTGGTTGGTGTATAAAGAGGTTCTAGGCCCCCTTGTCTTCCCTGTGCTCAATGTTTTTGTTTTTATCGCTGTCTTTTAATATACTGAAAATCAACATGGATCTCAGACTCAGTATTAAGAGAGAAAAGAAAAGTACAGCATTCCAATTTAAATGCGTGGTGATTTTCGGCGATAAGGATGGAAGCCAGTCCCTTCCATAAGCCACACAAACAAAACAAAACCCAGCATCCAGCCGACTCTGGAGAGGTTAAAAATATGATGCTGACAACCGTGCGAGAAAACTCAAGAAGAGCAAAACCAGGGGTCGCCTGGCTACGCAAGGTGGAGGCGTGGAATCATCCCCCTGTGTCGGGCTTGCACCGAGGCCTGAGCCCCGTGACAGGAGTCTGGGTAGAAGGAGGTGGCACAACACCTCCATCAACACAGCCCTGGGCTCCTCCCCCCGCCTGGCGAGCCCAGCTCCCCGGGGCCTCCCTTCCCGGCTCCGAAGGGGCCTGGGGGCTGCGCGTCGGGGTCGCTCACCGGCAAGCGGGTTGCTGTGGGGTCCCGAGCTGCTCCTGCGAGGACAGGCCCGAGGACGGTCACAGAGCCCGCAGTTAGGCTAATGGAGCTGGAGCGACTGGCCTGCAGCAGGCTCGGGGCGGCGCCGGGGGGAGGGGCCGGTCGAGTCAGCTGATGCCCGACCCTGCTGTGACCTGCGCGCACAACCGCGCAGGGCGCTCCCGTGGGAAGAGTGTGACCCAGGGGCGGGCCTCACGCATGCGCCCTTCGTCCACCGTCCTAAACCCGAAAGCGCCGCTGTTGTGAACGTGCGCTCCTGCGGTTGTTACCTTGGTCTCCCGAGACCTAAAGGTAAAAATTGGCAACCCCCCTCGCCGTGGAAAATTTAAAAATAATTGTCTACCCCCCGCCCCCCGCAATTAGGCTATTTCCTTCTGCGGGGGGGAGAAGCGAGCGCTCCGCGCCCCGGCCCTCCGCTGAGCAGCGTTCTGCCCTCGCCCTGACAGTCGTCCCTGACGGTGGGACGCGGCGAGGGGCATGGCCAGGAGGAGAGACTCGTGTCTGTTTTCATTTAGAACCTCCTGTTCAGTAGAAGGAGGATGGAACCAGGAGGGAATCGGTTTTTGTTCAATTTGTTTTTGGTTTGTGTGGTTTGGGTTTGGTTTCGATTTTGCACACGGTGTCCGCGTCCCCCTTCCCATTGCTCAGGGTGAGATCCCGCCCGAATCCCATGAACCCCATACTTCAGCTCCCCACTGTGACACGGGCTGTTCTCCCCAGCATCTCAAAGGCTACGTTATCGCGTTTAGAAAACTACAATAACAATACACAGTTGTTTTAAGGGTTAAATGAAATACTGAAATACTGGGAATAAATGTAAAACAGGTTTTCTCTGGCCAGTTTGGCTCAATGGTTAGATTGTGGTCTGTGGACCAAAGAGTTGTGGGTTTGATTCTGGTCAAGGGCAGGTACCTTGGTTGGGGTTTGGTTCTGGCCCTGATGAGGGTCACATTTATTTTTCTCTCTCTCTCTCCCACACTCTATCTGAAGATAAGTGGAAAAAGATCCTCCAGTGAGGAATTAAAAAAAGCACAGACTAGCATGACTTGCAGAAAGTTTAGCATTTTATGAATTGTTATATTCATGGTCACAACATACATATAGTAACCAAGGAAGACAGTGACTATTTTATTTTTCTGTTCTGACAGGATCATTGTATTTGGCCAATGGAATATGAAGATATATAAAAGTAAGAAGTGCAAGTCAAAACAATACAAATTTAATGTTTAAAATTATATGCCCATCTGTTAGATAATGAGCTTTCTCACACAATGTTGGCAATGATGTAAACTGAAGCTTTCTGACTGGAAATTAGGCAATATGTATCAAGAATATTAAAAATGTAAATTTTCACTTCCTTTGCCCTGGCAATCACATCCTTTGGGATTCATCCTAAACCCAAGGAGAATTCTCTAAAATGTTTTATACAGTGTGTTCAGTTAACCTAAATGTCCAACGATGGGACATTGATTAAATCATTGTCAACCCTGTGGTAGCCTATATCTTCCAAAGGTGAAGACTGAGTAGACATCCTTCTCTAACATTGTTTGAAATTTCAAAATAAATAGCTTAGCTAAAACAAGTCAGAATCATCAGGACCTCCCTCTCAAAAGGGGGTATAAAAAGAGACATATGCCCAGCCGGTGTGGCTCAGTGGTTGAGCCTTGACGCATGCACCAAGAGGTCACGTGTTGGACTCCTGGTCAGGGCACAGGCCCAGGTTGTGGGAATGAACCCCGGTGGGGGGAATGCAGGAGGCAGCCAATTGATGTTCTCTCTCATTGATGTTTCTTTCTCTCTTTCCCTTTTTCTTCAAAAACCAATGCAGAAAAAAAAATTTTTTTTAAAAAGAGATAACAGAATTAGTATACATTTTCCAAGGGTTCACAGATTTCCTTGAAGTCTGTTCATGAAGACCAGATTAAAAACCCTGGCTGTAAAAAAGCTAAGATTAATGTGGTAAGAAGATGGATTATAAAACCCAATTAGATAAAAATGGCTATATTTAGACCTCAATCATTAAAACAATGGTGTTAGATATGTTAGCCATTATTTCTCCTTGCTTTCAAAAGTGTCCTTTGGAAAACAGTAATTATGAATTAGAGATACAGAGGTATGATTTAATTGTAGTATAGCAATACTAGAAGACCCTACATTTCCTTACAGAAAACCCTAAACAGATTCCTCCTTTTTTAAAAAAATTTTTTCTATTTCCTCTATTAAAAAAGTATTATCATTATTTAAATTGCAGTTTAACATTTAAAGGAGTGAGTTTTAATCTTTATTTATGAAATGGGACATATTTTGGACACCCTTAATTCTGGCTACAGAAGTTCTTTCAAGTTGCCTTAATGGCTACCAAGGTGAGGAGCAGTGGGAAGATATCTGTCTATTCAGTGTTTTATGGATTGTCATTTAAAAAATACTAATGCCATCCTAGCCGGTTTGGCTTAGCTCTTAGAGAGTCTGCCCCCGGACCAAAGGGTCAGAGGTTTGATTCCCAGTCAAGGACACATACCTAGGTTGCAGGTTCCATCCCCAGACCTGGTCAGGGTCCTGCTGGAGGCAATGAATCCATGTGTCTCTCTCACATCGATCTTTCTCTCTTTCTCTCTCTACCCCTTACTCTATCTAAAAAAAAAAAAAAAAAAAAAAGGGTCTGGCCGGTGTGGCTCAGTGGTTGAGCATCAACCCATGCACCAGGAGGTCACCAGGTTGATTCCCAGTCAGGACACATGCCCAGGTTGCGTTGTGGGCCACATCCCCAGAAGGGGGCATGCAGGAGGCGGCCAATCGATGTTCTCTCCCATCGATGTTCTTTTTTTTTTTTTTTATATGAATTTTTATTTATTTTTTTGTTACAGATATTTTACCTTTTTACCCCATTGGCACCCCCCTCCCCACCCCACCTCCACCCCATCCCCGGCTTAGTTGTCCATGTCCATTGGTCATGCATACATGCATATAAGTTCTGTGGTTCATCTCTTCCCATCACCCCACCCCCCATCCCCTCTTCTGAGGGATGTCAGTCTGTGCCCTACTTCCATGTGTCTGGGTCTACTTTATTCCTCAGACTGTTATGTTCATTATATTCCGTATATAAGTGAGATCATGTGGTATTTGTCTTTTTCTGCTTGGCTTCTTTCACTTAGGATAATACTTTCCAGGTCCCTCCATGTCGTCTCAAAGGATAAGAGATCTTTCTTTCTTACCGCTGCATAGTACTCCATTGTGTATATGTATCACAGCTTTTTTATCCATTCGTCTACTGGTGGACACTTGGGCTGTTTCCAGATCTTAGCTATTGTAAATAATGCTGCTATGAACATGGGGGTACATATATTCTTCCTGATTGGTGTTTCAGGCTTCTTAGGGTATATTCCCAGCAGTGGGATCACTGGGTCAAATGGGAGTTCAATTTTTAATTTTTTGAGGTAGCACCATATTGTTTTCCATAGCGGCTGCACCAGTCTGCATTCCTACCAGCAGTGTATTAGAGTTCCCTTTTCTCCACACCCTCGCCAACACTTGTTGTTTGATGATTTGTTGATGGTGGCCATTCTGACAGGTGTGAGGTGATACCTCATTGTTGTTTTAATTTGCATCTCTCTGATGATTACTGATGTTGAGCATTTCTTCATATGTCTTTTGGCCATTTGTATGTCCTGTTTGGAGAGGTGTCTATTCAGCTCCTCAGCCCATTTTTTAATTGGGTTCTTTGTCTTCCTTTTGTGGAGTTGTATGAGCACTGTATATATATTGGAGATTAACCCGTTATCTGATACATCACTGGCAATGATGTTCTCCCATACAGTGGGTTGCCTTTCCATTTTGATGATTGTGTCTTTTGCTGTGCAGAAGCTTTTTAGTTTGATGTAGTCCCATGTGTTCATTTTTCCTTTGTTTCTGTTGCCTTAGGTGATGTATCGTGAAAATTCTGCTCCGTATGATGTCCGAAATTTTGTTGCCTATATTTTCTTCTAGAATTTGTATGGATTCACGGGTCACATTTAAGTCTTTTATCCATTTCAAGTTTATTTTTGTATATGGTGTAAGTTGATGGTCTAGTTTCATTTTTTTGCATCTAGCTGTCCAATTTTCCCAACACCATTTATTAAAGAGGCTGTCTTTACTCCACTGTATGCTCTTGCCACCTTTGTCAAATATTAATTGAGCGTATTGCCTTGGGTCCATTTCTGGGTTTTCAGTTCTGTTCCACTGGTCTATATGCCTGTTCTTGTGCCAGTACCAGGCTGTTTTGGTTACAGTCGCTTTGTAGTATAACCTGATATCTGGTATTGTGATCCCACCTACTTTGTTCTTTTTTTTTCAAGATTGCTGTGGCTATTCGGGGTCTTTTTTGGTTCCATATGAACTTTTGAAGTATTTGTTCTAGTTCTATGAAATATGTCGTTGGTATTTTGATGGGGATTGCATTGAATCTATAGATTGCTTTGGGTAGTATGGACATTTTAATGATGTTAATTCTTCCAATCCATGAACAGGGTATGTGCTTCCACTTTTTTATATCTTCCTCTATTTCTTTTTTCAATGACCTGTAGTTTTCTGCAAATAGGTCCTTTACTTCTTTGGTTAAGTTTATTCCTACGTATCGTAATTTTTTTGGCGCGATGGTAAATGGGATTGTTTTTTCAGTTTCTCTTTCTGTGAGTTCATCATTGGTGTACAAGAATGCCGTCGATTTCTTGACGTTAATTTTGTATCCTGCTACTTTGCCAAATTCATTTATTAAGTCTAATAGATTTTTGATGGAGTCTTTAGGGTTTTCTATGTACAATATCATGTCATCTGCAAATAATGACAGTTTCACTTTCTCCTTTCTAATTTGGATCCCTTTTATTTTTTCGTCATGTCTGATTACTGTGGCTAAGACTTCCAGTACAATGTTAAATAAGAGTGGTGAAAGTGGACATCCCTGTCTTGTTCTTGTTCTTAGTGGAAATGTTTTTAGTTTCTGTCCATTTAGTATGATGTTGGCTGTAGGTCTTTCATATATGGCCTTTATTATGTCGAGATATGATCACTCTATTCCCACATTGCTGAGCGTTTTTATCAGAA